CACCAGATTGGCTTAACTTGACAGTAAAACAGCATTAGATTGTTACAGAGTGTCTTGCAGAGACTTCCTCGTTGAGGGAGCAAAGTTTAACTTTTTCAAGTGATAAATATTGTTGCTCATTCTACCAACTGTACTCAAATAATTTCTGTTAACATTTTCTTATTTTTGAAGTGTGGAGGTAAAATGTAGTAGTCTTAATATTATCTTAATGTATGTATACATGCAACTGTTACCAGCCAAGTTCCTGAAGTTGGTGTTCAGTAATAGTTTTAATAACACCATGTATCATGTCACTTCAATAACTTCTCAGAGGTGTGAAATCTGCCGGGAGCAATTTGAGCAGTACTGGGATGAGGAGGAGGAAGAGTGGCATCTCAAGAATGCTATCAGAATGCATGAGAAGGTAATGCAATTTTTTTATACATGGTACTCATTTATATTGAAAAGCAAAACAAAAACATAACAGAAGAATTATAGAAAGAAATAGGTCACAGTGACCTGTCTTTTCTGAAGGACTCCTCTTTTAGTTTTCCTGCTTCTAAGTGCATAAATATCTCAACCTTTGGATGTGCTTGAAGTCCTGGTATCATTAGTACAGACTCACTGGGCTTCCCTCATACTGTGTTGCTAAAAGATAAACAAAGGTGATCTTCTCTACTTAGCATTGTTGAGTCTGCCTGGATTACTGGATCCACTTCTGGGTCACTCATTACAAGAGAGACCGTGCTGGAAAGAGCCCAGTGCTGGAGCCTGTCCCTCTTTGGAGGTCTTCAAAAGCCAAAGCATGTGGTCCTTGGCAACTTGGCTCCAGATGTCCCTTCCACCCATTCTGTGATTCTGTGAATGTTCCTGTGAGTGTGGGTGTTGGTTGTGGTCCAATTATTTCTGTACTTAGCTAGCTATACAGAAATAATTCCCTGTGCTTACAGGATTTTTGTGTGATGCTTTTCCTAAATAAGCATATACCAGATACTTTCCCAGTCGCATTTGACACCATACTTAATTTACACATCATTGTCCTGGAGGAATGGTGTGATCTGTTTGTGTCTGACCAGTGCTTTTACTGTATTTGTAATGTATTTAAATGGGTAACAATTATTTTCCAGATTTACCATCCATCCTGTTACGAAGATTACCAAAACGTAAGAAAACCCTTACTTTCATATTTTTTAATGATTTTGCTTTCAGTTTGTTTGCTTGATCACTGTCTTTATATAGAGCAGGTCTTCAGAATCAGTTCCTCATGCATGTGCCTAGGGAAAGAATCAGAGGCCTTGGGAATGGCAAGTTTATAATGCATAATTAGAGTTAGTTATGATGTATCCATGACAGCTTTTGTATCACATAAGTGAAACTAAATTGAAGCCATTATGAATGTATTGTTGAGTAACATGTGTAATCGTAGGAATTTTAAGAAATTGAGAAAATGAATGTTAGTATCTGTTAACTTTGTTAAGACTTAGGAGCTAACAGTTCCTTTTGGGGGGATAGTTGGGAATATTTAACAGTAACATATTAAGCATTTCATCACTGCGAGGATACTGTTTGAGAGTAATTACAAAAAGTAAATGCTATTATATAGCAAGTTTTGTTATTAGATAAAGTAGAAAGTAATATATAAAGTAAAGTTTGGAATTTGAGTGATCTACTGCCCGTGTGTTTGCATTTTGGAAGAGACAGAGAGGGAGAGAAGGTAAAAATGGTTGTTTGAACAATGTGTTAATGCTGTATGAATGTTTGTTTTATAGACATCATCATTTGATTGCACACCCTCTCCCAGCAAGACCCCTGTAGAAAATCCCCTAAATATTATGTTGAACATTGTTAAACAGGAAACAGATGAGTCCTGTGACTCACCTCAAGTGAAAGAAGAACCTGATGACACCCCTGCTGCCTGTGCAGAAGAGAGCACACCTGCCTCTATAGATGTTAAAACAGAACCAGATGAGTCTGTTTAGATTGAGGTTTGATTTTTTTTACAGAAGAGCTCCTGTGTTAATTCTGGAAAGCAGATACTTTTTATAGGAAATAAAAATGTTCAATTGAGGCAGGGCCTCAGCTACTGTTTCGTTAATAAATAAATAAATAAATACATTTTTGTATTTAAATTTCTTATTGCCTGCACTGTTTCAGGTGTCATTGTGTGAAAATTCTGTACATGCGTGAAAATTTAATGGAATGAAATTGTATATGTAAAAATGTACAATTTTCACTTGTGGAAATGTAAATTATAAATAAAACATATTTTTGCTATACATGGAGTGTAATGTTTATGCACACCATCAAATGAAGACAGTGTTTCTGTACTTTTTTCAGTTTAAATGGAATTAAAAAGACCTCAGTTTTAAACCTCTTACTGAATAAGATTCAGAAAAGCAAAAGCAAGCAACTTCCTTCAGTTATCTCTTAAGTGGGTGATCAAGGGAAGCAGTGCTGGAACTTCTCAAGACGAAAGCCTAGGTTTCTTCTTAAATTTACTTGAACAAACTTACATATCCAGATATAAAAAAAAAAAGTAACCAAAAGACCATTCTGGGTAGAATGACAGAATATAACAAAGCAACCAGAGTGCTTGATTGTGAACACAAGTGCCAACAGACAATTAACAAACCAGGATGCCTGGTAGTTGAGACATTTTAATGATTTTTTTTTTTTCCTTTAGTCACACATAAGAGTTTAATACAGCTGAACAAACTTTTCTTTACAGGGGGGAATGAATCTAAGAATGCTCATTTGAATTTTTTTTTTTTTTGTTGCTTATGACTGGATTTAGGTGATAAACCAGCTATCCTGAGATGTTAATATTTCTTAAATGTAATAAATAAAATGAAGCATATATTCGTGTCGATCTCTTTCTTTCAGTAATGGGTTTGTGTGTTTGGGCATGTTTGTGGGATGGGCAGCAAGCTGTCATACAGCGTTTGTCTTGGGATAAGCATGCAGTTTGCCTGATGTGGGGTGGAATTCTTCTGAAAGTCAGAGGAAATATCACTGTCCTAGGATGTGGCTCTTTGCAATGTCGGGTACTTGGAAAATCCAAATTCACCCCAGTGTATGCTCTAGCAGCTGTGAACCTGATCGGCTGTTGCTTGCAGTGTTTCCCGTCTTCACAACCAGACTGCAAGCAATAACCCTTGTGTAGCATCTTCCTGTAAGTTGCAACAAGAAGTTGCATATTAGAAAAAATCCATTCAATATGCAGAGTGATTTCTTTTGTCCCCATCGAAGGAAGTCAGTTTCCTTGGAGGCCGTGGGGTGCTTAGGCAAGGGGCTGAAGAACCGAGGCAGTGTCACAAAAACACCTGAGAACGCCTCGGGTTAAACGCACAGCTGTGACTCGAGCCAGAGCATCCCACAGCGCGGGCAGGCGAAGTGCTTGGCAAATACCTGCGTGGGTTGAAAACAGGCAGCGATTTGCTGTTTTTTCCTGGGAAAGGGCCTCAAGAAACCGCCCCAGCGCTGCCCAGCAGCAGCCGCCCCGCGGGCAGGGCCCGTCCTGCCTGGACGCCACGGCCGCCATGGCCGCCACTCCCGCCAAGCGCCGCCCGCCATTTTCCTCCCGCGAGGACAGCGGACGCCGCGCCCATAGCAACGCCGCTGCGACGTGGGGGAAGGAGTGAAAGAAGAGAAGAGCGCGGCGCCAGCCCTATTTCGGCCGGTGAGACCGCTCCGCCCGCGGCCTTCTCCCCGGTCCTTCCCTGAGGGCCGTGCCGTGCCGCCCCGCGCTCGGGAGCGGTGCTCCCAGCGGTGCCGTTCCCGCCTCGGCCGTGAGCGGGGCGCCCCACGGGGCGGCTGTGCCCGCGGTGTTTGGCCCTCCTCAGTTGTTTTGTCCGTCTGTTAACATGTCTGTTTGTTATTGGGCCCACCTAAAATACCCCAAGCTAATTGATATTTGCCAAACACGCGGGGAAAGGTGGCATAACTGCCATGGACACTGCTGGGATGGGGTTATAACCCCACACAGAACTCAGCACCTCAGTCTTTGCCCACCATGTGGCTTTGTGCCTCATCCCCTTCAACTGCTGCCAAGAAGCATCGCATTGTTGTGTGTTATGGAGATAAGAAAAGCCTAACGTTGTGCCTTTCCCTCAGGCTGAGTGATTTCTTGGGTGAAGTCTGGTCAAGTACTGTTGTAATGCTTACCCACTTACCTACTTCTTTCTACGGGGCAATTTTTTTCCCTAGGAAACAAGCATTTGATAACAAATTGCACTGAAGTTATGGAAAATGTCATTCTCTCTCAAAACCAGTGTGTTTTGTACAGGGTTCGTGTTAACAGCTGTTCATTAAACTTCACTCCCAGCCATGCTTGTGGTGCCTGAGCCATGGGGCTGCAGCTTGGCACCCATCTGCACATAGGCATAGGTCATTGCCCCTTCCACAGGAAGAAAGAGGGCAAGATTCTTCTGGATTAAAAAATAATACGTATTACCTTGAACCCATAGCAGTGAAATGTGGTGTTAAGTGCATTAGTGCTTTGGCAAGCAGTGTAGTTAGCTTCATCTGTCTCTGAGGTAAGTCTGCATCATTGTGCTGAAGTCTGTAACCCTCACCTGGCATCATGAGAATTTGCTTCCTTGTGGGAAAATCAGTGAAACTCTCTGTTTAAAAAACACAACACCAAAATGCTGCATGTACTTAAGTTTTATTTAAAAACATGAACTGGATGAGCCCCAGAGGTCCCTTCCAACCTGAGCTATTCTGAGTTGCTGCTAGTGTTGGTTCATGCAGCATTTTGCTGCCGTTGTGCAGGGCAGTGGTACAGCCTGGCTCAGGGTAGGGGGGGCAAGTGGGAGTGGAGTAACGATGCACCAGGGGTGCATTACAGCACTCAGCCTGGCTTATTGAAACAGTTGAAGCCCCTGTTTCTCTGTGGTAATGCTGAATCAGCCAAGCACTACTGTCATGCTACAGATTACATGGGAATAGGTACTGGTAGATAGTGTCAGCTGCTTTTCATCATGTTTAGTGCTTTTATGTGTGCCAGGAACCTTTGAGCAACAACTCACTGATACGCTTTAACATTTTTGATCTCGCATTTTTAATAATCCAAACTATTGCCTCAATTTCTTCTCCATGGGCAGGAAAACCGAGGCAGTAATACCTTAAGACCAACATTTACGTGCGTGCTTGACTTGCAGGACAGCAATCTGCTTCTTCAAGACTTCTTAGAGCCTGAAATTTAATCAGAGGTTGTTGGTGCGTTCTGGTTCCAGAATGGTGACTACTCCAAAAGGTGATTACTAATTGTTTTGGGTTACTCATATGCTTAGCCATCTGAAGTTAGCCATCTCAGCCATTAGATCTACTTACATCACTTATTTTTGTTGGCAAATGTAGGCAAAATGCCAAAATGTTGCAAGAGGATTTAGATATCCAGCTCCCATTGTTTACAGTTACACTGTCAAACAGTAACAAGGCCTGAAGGAAAACACAGACTGTATGATCCCATGTCCTGGTGATGGGTTTTTTTGGACCACGCTGCGTCTGTGTTTAGAGTTTGATTCTGAGCCACTGAAGTCCATGAAAACGTTATTGACTTTGGTGGGAGTAAAATACCAGGCTTCTAACAACGTAACCTGTGCCAGAGCGGTGCTTTGGCCCCGTGCCCCCAGCACAGCATGCCTTGGTGTGCCATGTCCTTGATAGCAGCAAGGAGCATGGCCATGTGGATCCCTGAGGATCAGTGAGAGCGTGATTGATGACAGAGTTTGTGATGCCCACAGCTTTGAAAGTGAGCCAGCATTGGGGATGGACTTGATCCAGCATTTGCATGCATAGATGGAGTTGCTTTGCTGTCCTGTTCTTTTTCTGGGGCTGGAAGGACATGGCTCTTTCAGGTTTTTGAATATTGCTTTGCTTCTGGGAAACAGAAGTGGGTAAGGACTCATGCTGATACGTTATACTCTCATAGGTTACACTTGTGACTGATTCTTATAAACTGTTCTTTGATTCATCACTTCTTTAATCTCTCTGAAATGTGACCAAGCTGGCTAATGCTATTATTATTCCTCACTAGATGTCAGGAAGAAGCAAATTTACACCAATGTACATGAGGCAGTGAAAGCTGGTGATGTAGAACAGCTTGCATTAATGGTAAAACGCGGAGCCTCTATCGATGAGGTGGATTTAGTCCACAAGTTCACACTGCTGCACTGTGCTGCACACTCTGGAAGCTTGGAGGTAAAATCATAGAATGATAGAATGGCCTGGGTTGAAAAGGACCACATTGATCATCCAGTTTCAACCTCTGCTGTGTGCAGGGTCACCAGCCACCAGACCAGGCTGCCCAGAGCCACATCCAGCCTGGCCTTGAATGCCTGCAGGGATGGGGCATCCACAGCCTCCTTGGGCAGCCTGTTCCAGTGTGTCACCACCCTCTGGGTGAAAAACCTCCTCCTAATATCTAACCTAAACCTTCCCTGACTCAGCTTAAAACCATTCCCCTTGTCCTATCACCATCCAATCAGTGTCCTCAAATTTTACAAAATCAGAGTTTTTCTTACTCCAAGCAAGGTGTGCCTTTTGGCCTTTCTTCTAGCCTCATTACTTTTGTCCCTCTTCTGTTTTCTCCTTCACTCAGAACACTCAGAAAATTCATAAGGTTATGTATAATGTTCTGGAAGTGACTGAAGCAAGTGAGAAGTGACACAGAAATGTTTGTTCAGTTACCAGTGTTCTGTCCCATGCCTCATTCTCTACAGAAATACTTCAAATAAATTCATTTTAATAAGCAAGAACACTGCCTACTGATGCAGAGATGAGCAGGTACTTGCTGCACAAATGATTTGATTTCCAGAAGGACTGAGCTGCTGCATTCAGCACAACATTCACCTTCTTGTTACAGCCTCCTTGTGCAACGTTTATAGTGATCTTACTTTGAAACAGCAAGGCTGTAAATAACCATACAGAGAGCAAAGTCCCAAAGGAAAGAATGTCAAGTTTTCTCTAAATTGGAGAACAATAAGTGCAGTGCTATTACTGCAAGGTACAGAAACTGTCAAGAAAATGCTGATGATTGTGTTGTCAACTCTAAAAATCACTTGCCCACCCTTATCTGCCTCTATAAATTCTACCATTTTTCATTTAAGTCTCCTTTGCAATCAGTGTATTTGGGTTTATTGAATTATCTGTCCCTCAATTGTTACTAAGCTCCTTGGTGGAAACAGGGCAGGAAGCAGGGCTCGAGACTAGCCTAAAAGAAGACAGGAAATAATAATAATGTATAACAAAAAGCTTTAACTATTTTTGTAGCTTATTATTGATTTAATAATTCTTCAAGTTTTCCATGGAAAGCAATAACACCTGCTGAAAAAAAGGTGAATAAAGCTAAAATAATGTGTGATGGGTGAGAGGAGAGGTGGGATTACATGCACCCAAGAAGCCTAATAAATGAATTGAGGCTTTACATTTGATTCATGGCATTTTTCCTACTGTTCATGTTAGCTGGACTTCAAGTGAGCATGTTTGCATCATTTTTCCTAATGTTTTACCTCATGTCACATGAATGCTCTTGCGGGCTGCATTTTAAATCTGAAATAGTAAAATCAAGAAGCCACCCTGTAAGATCATTGCAATTAGAAGGTTGGTTGTGCTTTCTGTGCACTTAGATGAAGCCTTGAAACAATCTCATTTCCTAGTAGCTAATGCTGTTTGAAATGTTACATCTGCTGTTAATTTATGGTTAACTTTTGCCCCGATAAGTTGTAAGAATTGTTAAAGAAGAATGTATTAAATAAAACGAGCTTGTTTTTGGTTGAGCAGTGCCTTCACTGGTTGCTCTGGCATGGCGCTGACGTGACACGTGTGACAGTCAGAGGCTGGACAGCAGTCCATCTTGCGGCGATCCGCGGGCAGGATGCTTGCATGCAGGTACGTAGGGATATTCACTCTTCAGCAAAAGGAAGGCAGGCCTTTGCTTTGGACACTTCTTTAAGAAAATCAGCTGAGAGTGCTCCTACTGGGGCTGGATCTCATCTCTGTGTCTTTACAGCTGAAACCAAGTCACTGGTAAAACGAGTGCACTCGTTTGTTCCCTCTTTGCTAACATTTGTTTTGTGTGGTGACCCCAGAGGTACCCAGCTGATCATCTCAAGTCATCCTGCCAGGCAGCGTTTGCCCTTTCAGCCTGTGAACTGAGCTCAGACTTTGCGTTTCTTGTAGGCATTGTTAATAAATGGAGCAAACCTGGAAGCTCGAGATGACCGTGGCTGCACTCCATCACACCTGGCTGCAGCCCACGGGCAGTCGTACACATTGCAAACCATGCTGCGAAGCGGAGCGGTGAGAGACTCCTACCTGCTGTTCCGTAGGGCAGAGCCAGGGTCTGGTATCTTTTTCCATACCAAGCCCTCACTAACTGAGGTTTGGGACCATGGATTGATCTCTGTTGGTACATTCTTGTTGGGAATTTATTTGTAGTATAAATTTCCATTTTTTAATTGTAAGAGATGTTAGGTCTCTAGATCCAAAAATCTAGAGAGAATCAGTAACTTGGGACAGATTTGGACAGGGAAATCACTAAAAGAAGGTCAGGTGCTGCAGTGGCTGTGATTTTTTTCCAGTTGTACAAACCTTCTACAGTAATAGATGTTAAAAAAATCCAGCTGTATATTTAAGAATAATGACTAATATGGTGATAGAAGTATGACTGAAAATGTGTTTTATTCCAATAAAGCCTGTGAGAAATACATCTTATGCTACTTTCATGGCTTGAATTTGGAAAAATATTTCATTTTGTTTAAATCATGTAGCACAGTGAACCATCGATTCTTATCTATAAAATATCTTGTGTCTAAGCTTCATAAACAAATTAACCTGCTGCTTTCATTTTAGAATGCAAACGTTGCAGACAGGAATGACTGGAAGCCTGTTCATTATGCTGCTTTTCATGGTCGCTTGGGCTGTTTGCAGCTCCTTGTTAGATGGGGAGCATGCATAGATGATGTGGATACTGATGGAAACCTTCCAGGTATGTCAGGAATAATCATTTGTTTTTTCAACCCTTGTTGTGTATGTGATAACTGTGGCACATCATAAATAAAACACACCAGCAGCGTTGATATGGCAATAGATAATGGTTTAGTAGGACAAAAGGGAGCCATTTAAAACTAAAAGAGGAGATTAAATGTTAGGAGGAAATTCTTCCCTCAGAGGGTGGTGAGGCACTGGCACAGCTGCCAGAGAGCTGTGGTGCCCCATCCCTGGGGGTGCTCAAGGCCAGCTTGGATGGACAGCCTGAACTGGTGGGGGGCAACCAACCCAAGGCAGGGGGTTGGAACTGGATGATCTTTCAGTTCCCTTCCACCTGAACAAGTCATTCTGTGATTCCATGTTTCTGGAGGTGTTCAAGGCCAGGTTGGATGGCACTTTGGGCAGCCTGGTCTACTGGGAAGTGTCCCTGCCTCCCCATCCATGGATGGTCTCTAAAGTCCCTTCCAAACCAAACCAGCTGATGACTGTATGATTTGTTCCATGTTATCAACCTGATTATTCCATTTTTATAATGATGGGAGAATACATAAATCCAAAGTACTTGTTGGTTGGCAGCAGTATCCTGTTCAGCTCCTGCTGCTGCTGGCAGGGCTCACATCAGGAGCAGGTTCAGCCTGAGTGCTGTGTACGTGGGCATCCTCAGTGCCTGTGCCTATGGAGATCACAGGAGGAGAAGGGCAGGTGGGGCAGCAGGCAGGCTCTGCTGCTATCTGCTCCTTTTTGAATGTATACCAAGCTTGAACAGCTGTGCCTGTGTGATCAGATTCTGGTGTGTTCATATGCAAGCTTTTGCATCCAACTGTTTCTTAGCTGGATTGGTAAAACCCTTGTTCTCGTTTACCTCTGATTTCTCCATCTTGATTTACGGCATACCAGTATTTCTGTATTATCTGTAGTCTGTAATCTCTTCAAAATCCTGTGTGTAGCCACTTCAGCATAAAAAGTGATGCTCTGTTTCTTGCCCTTTGTAGTTTCTCCGCCATCCCTTTGCTTATCACACTACTGCCTCAAATTACTCTGTAAGTTGAATGTTGTCGTTCAACCCTTTGTTGTTGTAACATCATTTCCCCTTTAACATTTGCCTTCTTACAGTCTGTCGTATTATTTGTTCCAAATAGCAAATGTTTTCATCCCTCTATAACTTGTTTAGAGGTTTAGATTTAAAATCCATTTTAAAGCATTTTATCCTCTGCTGAGCACCATTTATCCAGAAAACCGATGTCTGTGTTCTGTCCTGCAAACCCAGGCTTTGTTAAAGGGTATGAGGCTCTTACATCCCAGGAGGACATCTGGTGTAGTGGCTCAGGCAATACAGGAATGTGATGTTAGGCACTCTGCTGACAACATAGGAGGTAGCTCTATTTGCATTTGGGAACACTTCTTTTTATGGAGAGGTGGTGAATGACAGCACCGTTCCACTGAGATGCCCTGTTGTACTGGTTGGTCAAGAACTGTTTTGGTTATTCTTCTAAAGCCGCTTTGTTCAGTCCTTGTTATGTTCCTTTGTGTCTGTTATCATCCAGAAGAAAGAAAATACTTTGTAACACTGCTAATAAAAAATGAACAGAAGTGCTGTGCTCTGCATACCAGTGTCGATTTAAATCATCTTTATATAATTCAGCTTCAAGATTAGCTGGCCAGTGCTATAATTTAACCTGAAAGTACTGACAGGAATTTACTGAGGATTGCAAATCCACGCTCCTAAAAATTAAGAATTGTAAGACTGCACCTTTTGCATGTTTGTTATGGCAGAGGCTTTAATTGCCTACAGTATGTTCATTTGTTTTGGAGGAACTATGGCTCATTCAGTGCCCTAAGTAGGCTGTGTTTATTATTTCAACATTTTGTTTTCTTTCTGTATTCTCTTTTTTTAACCATGCTTTACTTATGTCTTACTAGTGAAGCCTATTCTAAATACCGTATTTAATTGTAGTGCAAAGCCTGATTTTTCCACATACGTGGTTCTTTCACTGTCCATTTAGGCAGCAGTGAATAACTTCAGCTCGATTTTATAGGAGGTGAGATGAAACATGGAGAAGTTGGGATCCCAACACCAACCGTGATGCCTAAGATGAAGATTTTCAAAGTTCTCAGCGCTAGGCAGCATATTTTATGTTAACATCACAGAACTGTTTGGCTTTGGTCTCAAGAGCAAGTGCTCAGCGTGTCTGAGGTTGTGTGGCACTGTTCCATGTTGGGCACTGGCTGCTAAGAAGCACATGTTAAAAGCGTATGAAAATTCCTTTATGCCTTCCACAGAGCCTTGCTGCAAACCTGCAAAAGGACACAGGCAGAATGGAGCTCTGCAGTGTCTTTTTCCTTTGCTGTTTTTGCAGAAAGTCTTGAGCTTCTCTGACTGCTTTCTGCATAGGATAGGCACTGTGTAATGCATTATCTCAGAAGGTGAAGTTTTATCCCTGGGATTCTTAGGTATTTGAAAGTGGATTCATATGGATTGAGACTGTTTTTCACCAGCTGACCAGTTATCAGTATCAACTTCTGGAACGTGTCTCTTCATTTCACTTCTTCCTAACTCACTGTGAGAATGGTTTGCAATAGAGATCTCCAATGTGCCAGAAGTTAGCTGAAGTGAATTAAGTGATTTTTTTTTTTTTTTCTTTTTTTGCCCTAGATACATTGTTTAGCAATTAGGAAGATAATCAGAAACATGTAACCCTTTTTCCTGCAGAATGGCAGCCAGAGCATTTTGCTGGAGTGATAATGCATGCTGGATTAATATGTGGAGTGATAATCCACATTGAGTTAATACATGGAGTGATAATATGTTGCATAATAAAGGCAATCTAACTTGCATTTTGCAACTTCTTCCCATTGATGGACTGGAGACTATGATTTATTTCATAATAATGGCCATGTATTTTGTACCTCTTACTTTGTTGAGGCCCAGCACTCTGCTGGTGTTGAATAACTAAAGCTCAGTGTAGCCTAAAGGACAGGGGAGGAAGCACTTGTGCTCTGCAAGGAAGCAGTCACTGCTGTGCTGGGTCAGAGCAGCTCCTGCCCACACAACTCTCCACGAGTGTAAACATTAAAAAAAATGTCACAGAAGCACAGTGAATGCATCTGTGTATTAATGGGAAGATCAGGGGATGTACCTCCAAAGCTCTACCAGTAAAGTGAATGTCACTGTCATTTTACAGGTGAAGTGATGGAGCTGCAGAGGTGTAATGCAGCTTGTTGGGGGTGCTGCAGTGGATGTGGGACTGAAACAGATGCCCTAACTCCTAACCAAAGCCTCCCTTTGCAGGCCATCTGTAGTCTTATCTAGGACAGTGAGGCCAGATCATAGCTGCTAAGGAGTGAGCATTCCATGGGGAACAGGAGACCCCACCAGTGCATCCCTAGCTGTTGCTCTGGTGTCTCTTGGCAGTGTCATGCTGTGTTGGCTGCAGTCAGCTCTACCAGGGCATTTTCTGTGCAGATCCTGTCCTTAACAGCTTTCTTTTACCTCCTTTGCCTATAGCTGAACTCCGGATAGGAGCTGAGCATTCCCTGTGCAGCTGTCTGCTCCCTCCTGCTGTGCAGGGTTGAATGCCTCAGGTGCTGGTAGAGGAGCTAGATGTAACTGGTAGTGGCAACACTGCCTTCTTGACGGTCAGCAATGCCCTGCTCTAACATACGTGGTTTCTCCTTGTGCTGTAGCTCATTTGGCAGCAGTGGAAGGACACCTGCATTGCTTTAAGTTCCTGGTCAGTAAAATGGCCAGTGTCGTGGGTGCGCTGAAAGCCAGGAATGACCATGGAGAGACTCCAAGGGACTTGGCTGAGCGGTTCTATAAAGACAATATTCTGCAATATATTGACAGTGTGGAAAAAGAGGAGGAGCATCCAGAGACACAGGAAGGTGAGTAGGGATGAAATGTTAAAAGTTGATTACAATTTGTACTGTTAAAATAGACATAGTAATTCTATGAAGCACTGGATTCTGAGAGCTGTACGAGCAGAACTATGACCTTTGTATCACCATTGTAAGGTACAGCTGTTGCTTAGGATATTTTTGGCACCATTACTGATAGCTAGACTGGGATACTCAGCACGACTTTATAAATATGATTTACAGTAATCAGAATTAGGCTTCTCACATTGTGTTGCACTATGAATACCAAGTTGCCCATGCTCTGCCTGCACTCCAGCAGAGATCCAGAATCGCTGAATTTGCAGATTTGCCTGCTCGTGATCCTGAATGACTGCTGAGCCTGGAAAGATCCCACTGAAATTAAGGTTACTTGCTAACCAGGAATACTACTGCAGTCAGCATGGCAAAGGACACAAGGGTAGCAAGGTTTCTAAAGAGGATGTTCAACAGAGCAAGGATATGAGCACTGTTCACCTCTCTACTGTTCCCAGGCACACACTTTCCCTGTCTGCTAGTCTTCTGACATTGTGCTTACATATAAATACTAACACTCTCCACCTATAAAAAAATAACCAGAAAAATCAAATGGCCTGCATGAATAGCTTTTAAGCAAGAATCACAGAATGACAGAATGCCCTGGGTTGAAAAGGACCACAATGCTCATCCAGTTCCAACCCCCTGCTATGTGCAGGTCGCCAACCACCAGACCAGGCTGCCCAGAGCCACATCCAGCCTGGCCTTGAATGCCTCCAGGGATGGGGCATCCACAGCCTCCTTGGGCAACCTGTTCCAGTGTGTCACCACCCTCTGGGTGAAAAACTGCCTCCTAATATCTAACCTGAATCTCCCCTGTCTCAGTTTAAAACCATTCCCCCTTGTCCTATCACTATTCACATTGACAAACAGCCGTTTCCCTTCCTGTTTTATATGCTCCCTTCAAGTACTGGAAGGCCACAATGAGGTCTCCCAGAGCCTTCTTTTCTCCAAGCTAAACAAGCCCAGTTCCCTCACCCTTTCCTCACAGGAGAGGTGCTCCTGTTCATCTCAGTGCCCCCCTCTGGACCCGCTCCAAGAGCTCCATGTCCTTCCTGTACTGGGGGCCCCAGGCCTGGACGCAGTGCTGCAGATGGGGCCTCACAGGAGCCGAGCAGAGGGGGAGAAGTAATATAGTTTATATATTTGGGTAGACTGTGGAAATCTGGGTAGGCAGATGACTACTGTTACCACCAATAATAGAACATTAACTGTAAAACAAAGGTATACTTGTTATTTCAGATTTGTGAAATTAATCACTGAACTGTATAAGATGCCTGTAGTCATGACCAAGAGAGTTTTAGTCAAGTCTGTGATGAACAATCCTAGATATGCAGCTGCATTTTAGCTAATTAAAAGTTCATTAACCTTGCTAGCTACAGCTATGGAATGTCTGTGAGTTGCTATCGTAGAGGCAAGTTGTTTGAGACAAATATGAGCACGTTTAGTGGAATTACTGGCATCTGTTCAGAAATGTGTATTTCATTTTCAGTTTTAGCTTTCCCAGCCCATGATGCTGCTTTCAGAGGGGACTTGTTAGTACTCAGAAGATTAGTGAGATGTGGAGTAATCAATATTAATGAGCGGGATGATAAGGGGTCCACTCTCATGCACAAAGGTCAGTAATTGTGATCGATGTTTGAGCTTTTTCCTGTTTATTGCTGGCTTCTTTACTTATATTTTCAAATGGCTGCTCATTAGATAAACTTAATGAAAATCTCATTTCCTGAGGGCTCAAAGGAGCAACCTTGAAAAATATTTTATGATGGATGCATGTGTAGGGGTCACTTTAAAAACAAAATAGCCAAGCTGAAGTCAAGATAGAACAGTTTGCTATAAAAAGAAAACAACATCCACGTTGATTTTTTTTTATCTGGTGGGATATTACCTCCAGAGACGTGGACTAGTTAGGCATGGCAGTGATCTGCATTGTGGTTTGAGCCTTTATTTACTGAGCATACTGCTGATGTGACATGAAAACCACAACAAAGTAATTTGGTAGCCCACTCTGCAGGCAGCAGGATTCCTGGTATCTAACACCTTGGTTTGTAGTAGAGTGCTAGCATTACGGGACATCAGTTCTCTTATGTTTGAGGCTTTCTTAGTAGTGTTTGAGAGAAGAAATGGCAGGGGAGGCATTCTTGTAGTACACTTTTAACACTGTTTCCCACAGTTCTTTTGGCTAAGAGAAAAATGGCAGAATTTTTAAAAACGTGTAGAGAACAACTTTACATTCCTTCACATTTCTTCCCATTATCTTTTCTTGGATAGTTTCTACCAACAATTGTTTCACCCCCAATCTTCACCCCCAGTGTTTCTGTTATGGGGAAATTTTGGGCTGATAGTACATTTCCTTATTTCAGTCTGACACATCTCCAAGTGGGGTGCTGTCAGAGGCAGAGTTATTTTACTTAAGAAAAAGGCTTGCAGGTTTCAGCCAGCAATGCCAAGGAGCATCTTCCACATGTGACACATCATTACTAGGGGCCATGCAGTATGGGCAGTAGCCCTGCTGATGCATGGGACTGAGAACATTTAGTTTAGCTCATGTACAGACGGAGTTGCACATATATTTCAGGGACCAGAGAAAGCCACAAACCCACTCTACATGATCTCTGATAAATTGGGTGTACCCAAATGTCTTGAGCATCTTGAAATATATCCTCTGAAATAGTCTCTCTCCTTTGTGGTCTTGGTGAACCCAACATCTTGCATGTTAAACCATAGCAGAAGGGGGATGTAGGAGGTTTAAAATGCTGCGTTTGTGCACGGCTGACTTGCATGCACCTTCCTTCCCCCAGCTGCAGGACAAGGGCACATCCATTGCTTACAGTGGTTGATTGAAATGGGAGCTGACTGTGACATTACAGATGATGCTGGAGAGACTCCAAAGGATGTAGCCAAGAGGTAGCAGTACATGCCATGTAGCTCTGTCTTTTTTTAACCTTTATTTTGCTATTTAAATATCTAGTCAGCTTTGTTGTAATTACCCCTGATTTTTGGTGATGAAGCAAGAACTAATTACAGCTCTGAGTGATAAGCAAAGCCACACTGTAGCTGTAAAAGGCTGTAAAAGATTGCAAATTTATTTTCTTCTGCTTTTTTTTTTTTTTTTTTTTTTTTTTTTTTGAGCAAGGTCAGGGAGAAAAGCTGCAAACTAACGGATCTGCAGAAGGGAAATTATGAGCCTGTGTGCTCCAGCTGTACAAAGTAAATGAGAGCAAGAGAAGGCTGGTTGATTTTTGATTTAATGAAAGTAATGTAGTTGCTGATGAGATTCAGTTAAGAAATCCTACAAAGCAAAATGTATTTCTGAAGTGGGAGGCATCGTAATAAGATTTCAGTGAGGCAGAGTACTGTGGAAAGGAGATTGCTGTTCATAGTTTGTGTACCAATGCTTCCTCAAATCCTGAAACTCTGTCCTCTAAATGGGAACAGGAAGTGTTTCAGAGTTTTTATCTCATGTGGGAGACATGGCTGCGTGTTTCTAGATTACAGGGCTATATCAATGTAGGTTAACTGTTCTCTGTGCAGATTTGCCCAGCTAGCAGCTGTGGAACTTTTGACCCAAAGAACTGGAGACAGTAACTCTAGTGATGAAGAACTGGATGCAAGCAACATAGAATTTTTTGAAAGACATGGTGTGGAAGGGAGTACAGACAGCAAAGAAGACTTAATCCTGGATAAAGCAGAAAAAAGGGATGCACGCAGTAAGCATTGTCTGACTTCACTCCTTATTTGAACAGTCCAAAGGTGTTGGATTTTTGGTTGCACAATTTCTGCCAACTGCCACATTTGTTTCCTGTTGTAGAATGAGTTTGTTGGTAGGTTATCTGTGACACTGAGTTGTGGAAGGTTAGGAAGGCACAGGACGGTCAGAACATAACTGTTACACTGTTACAATCCCTGCAGTGAAACTACACTGGAATGCTCTTTGTTTCTGAGAGCAGTGTGCTGTGTGGGTCTCTATCTCAGCATCTCTGTGCCAGGTGTATCTCAGTGTCTGCTGAGCATTGTGGTTACTGCTCTGTGTGTGACTGTTTCCCATACTGTTGGACTTCAGCATGAAGTCTTCAGCTGTTTCCATGCATTGCATTTTACCTACCTGGAGAACCCTGTCTTACAGTAAGGGCCTATCGCAGGATTCAAGAACTTCAGCAACTTCTGGAAATTGCCTACAGCAACTACAGACAGCTGGGAGGAATAACTGAGGAGGAGAGGAAGATGAAAAAACATGAAAAGGAGGTTGAGAAGTAAGGTCAACTTTATAATGTGTCCTATTTTAAAGCCTTCTTTAAGGTTACTTTACACTCATATTGCTTTGGCCATTCTGTCTTTTCCACTTAGTGAATTTAGCCAGCCTAAAAAGAAAAGGACTTCAGCCATTTGGCCATTTGTGGACTCCTACCACGAGGATCAACCTTGCAGTACAACACAAATGATTGATAGCTCCATACTTCTTGTGCTTGTGCAGGATGACAGCCTGCACAAGAAGACATCCCTGACTCTACCTCTGCCTGTCGAACGTTTGGCTATGCACTGTTCTCAGTCACTGTAGATGAGCATGTCCATTACATGCTTGGGCCACCTCAAACCAATGTCACAAATGATGTGCCATTAGTGGAGGCTGGAGAGCATCCCTAGGTCCACTTCTGAAACTGAAGTAGTGCTTCTCAGGGTACCTACAGAGACCTGTGTGTCAACTCCAAGATACTTACATTGTATGCTGGAAAACCCCATTATTTTGGCATGTTTATTGTCCCTAACATTGCAGGAATTGCTACATGGGAAGGATTTCTAGCAGATTTTGAAAATGCCTCCTCCCTTTACAGCTTTGCTAATTCATTGTGGCACAGAGGAGAGCCAGCTCATTTCCAGATGACTCAGTTGCTGTTACATAGGGATAGATCAGAATTAAGTCTCAGCTAACCAGTTCCAGGAATTGCAGTTAATTTAATAGCCACTGTGACTGTGACTGATGAGAACCTGTGTAGCTGGGTCAACCAATGCTTCAGCTTCCTTTTAGTATGTGTCATGCAGGCTCTCATCTGATCGTTCCTCACGTGTGCTTACCCAATCACTTTAGGAAGCGTGCAGAGGAGCGGGGAGCCGAGCTGGGTTTCGTCCCGCCCGGCGCTGGCTCGCTGTGCGGGGAGACGTCTCCACCTCGCGGTCAGAAGCGCCGAGCACAGCTGGCTGTATGGTACGGAAAGCAGCCGACAGTGGAGCTTTTACAAAGGAGCCCGAGCCAGGAGGGCTCTACATTCGCGTTTTCTGCGCTCTTAAAACGCGCTTGGAGCGGCCTGGGCACGGCTGTGTGCGCTCAATGCTGTTTGTCCCCTTTGCTTTTGGCAGGGCCGTGAGGGAGCTGGAGGCGCAGCTGGAATCCGAGCGAGTCAGGAGGGAAAAGCTGGAGAGCCAGCTGGATGGCTGCCGCGCCGAGATCGGCCTCCTCAGGGAGAGCCGGGGGAGAACCCGCAGCCCTGCTGCTCTGCCTCCGGTTAGTGGGACGGACGGCAGCCCCGCTGCTTGGGCGCCTGTTCTCGCTAAGACTGTGGGGTGGTACTTGAGTGAGTACCTTAACAGCTTTCAGCTTGGCACGGTGAAGCAAGCAGCAGCCTTTGCTGCATCCTGACCTGAGAGGTTATCAGTTTCTCTGTCCTTGGCAGAGAATATGGATTCTCTGTATTTAGAAAAGGGAGTGGAGTGGTCCTTGAATGCTTCCATGGTTGGAATGGTCGGATGACTGGCTGTTCATCTTGGCGAGTAGCTGGTGCCCAGTTCAGACTGGACTGGGGACTTCAGGAGCTGCCCCTCATTCCCCAGCTGGCATAGCTGGTAGCAGCCACCACACATGTTGTAGGATCTCTTTTTTGCATCAGAATTCTCCTTCAGAATGGGTTCATTCTTCCCCCTTTTACCACAGGCTTGAAATAGACTTGGTGGACGCCTGTAATACAACGCTGCTGTGTGCAGTGGCTGAATTGAATAATTAGTCTTGTGTCATATCTTAATTATCAAGCCCACTGACAGCAAAGCAGGTGCAGATAGGTTGGCTTAGAAAACAGAAAACACATACACCTACTTAATCAAATCTGACAGTAGATCACAAGTTTACACATTAAGTTTGAAGCCCAGGAGAGCTGGCTTTTCAGACCTTTCCCAGCCACATCATATTTTTAAAGCCTGTCTTATGGTGCAGCAGATTTCAGTGATTGCTGCTTAATAGCTGTAATGATGTCCTTTGTTTCAGGAACCCGAACCCATCTCCATTTCCTGCAAAGAGAAAAAGAAAGTGAAGAAGAATCCACCCTGCAGGCATGGAGGAGTGTTTGTGAGGCTGCGCTGAGGAAGGAGCCTCAGACACAGGGCTGGCAGGCAGAGGGTGCAGAATGGCAATGTCCAGTGCAAAGCACTTGTAGAGCCCAATTCTGCAGATGAGCTGTGGTTCATCAAACTGCTTTCCCAGTTCTCTGGGACAGAAAATATTTCTAAATCACTGCAGCAAGGAAAACAAAAACAAAAACAAAACAAAAAAAGGCTTCTCTTCATATCCAGGGTAGTTTAACAAGAGCTTTGCAAATTGGAACATTCCAAAATTCACCTGCAGCAATGTCATAGGCTCTAGGCTACGAAAAAGCTACCCTCACCTACTGGAGCTTGGTATCACTGCCCTGAAACAGAAAAAATAAATAGGAAGCCCCTTACTTCAGCCAGGACCTGTGGGGTACAGACACAAAGAACAGCATATGGGGTAAGTCCTTGCAAAACAGCAGCTGGATGCCAGGCAACTGACTTTTCATCTCCAGCCAATCTGTGGAGGCCACAGAATGGCTCTCATGAATAATACTTTGGCTGTTTTGATTCCAATTATAAATCCTTGTGTTATAAAGGTGAATTTCCTGGTGCTTGAATCTTGATGTGTCCTCTCCTTTGCTATCCAGAGAAGCTTGATTGTGGTAAGTTTCAAAGTTAGGGAAAAACTCTGTTTTTGTGTGCGTACGCAATAGATGGAGAACATCCTAAGCAATAACATAAACCTGTGCCAGACAAGGAGAAATCCAGAATCTGGATCACAGACTTCAAGGTGTGTGAGTGTGGTGTGGAGCTGCCATGAATGAGATTTGGTCCATCATTCTTGGTGCTGTTCCAACGTAGGAATGGTGCCGAAGATCAACCCGTGTCTTGGAGAGAACTCCAGAAATGGTTACAGTGTGTATGAGGATGGATGTGTGACGGTGCAGCAGTCACACGGAGCAAGGGGTTGCCTCAGGTCCTTGTGCTGGCACCCCACACCCATTCCACTAACACATCCACAACAGAAAAAGCAGCCTCAGCTCACTAACAGTGCTGTGCTCATTATAAAAGCCACACTTGTACAATCCAGTCATCTGTATTCAAGCGCTGCAGATAGCAAATGTAAGAAATCCATTTTATTTTCTTAAATGTACACATTAAATACATAACTTCATGCACAGAATACAAGAATTTGCAAGATACCAGCAAGTTCAACTGAAAACAGAACAGAACTGCAATTGAAAACCTGCTGCTATCCAGAACTATAAACTCTGTAGCCCACAAAGTGCTTATTCTGAACAAAGCTTAAACCAGGAAGATGTTTTGAAAATAAAAGGAGTCAAATGAAAAGCACAGCCATTTGTACCCGATCCCACTGCTTCGGTTTTGGAAGGCATCCACCCATCACATCCTGTCTCTGCAGCTAGACTGAGAAGTCCTTGCTGTAGGCAGGCTCTCATCTCCTGAAGCTGAAAGAGGCCCACAGCATCACAGACTGCTCTGAAGGAGCACTTCTGTGGCACAACCAGATCCCACACCCAGAAAATACATGCAGGTTTATTGAGAGTACTCAGCACTGCTTGAAGGGAGGAGTTAAGAGCACTTATCTGTCCCAGGGCTGTCTGCAGTCAGTGAGAACAACAGCACTTCCCCTTGGAGAAATGAAGTTCTCCCTTTCTGTTGACCTCCGGGCTTACAAAAATTTTAAGGGATATTAAAAATAAATAAATCTGTAGAAACATTTTAGTTCTACACAAGATTTTAAATTTATGTAAACCATTTTTCAAGAAAAACAAGGATTCTTTAGAAAAGGCCTTGGAGTGTGTATTTTATATACATATGTTGATGTTTTCATAAATATTTATGAAAACATATAACCAAAGAACCAGGCTTCAAACCCATTGAAAATAGAGGAACAAACACCCAGCTCCTATACGTAAGGTGACTGCCTGGATCACAGTACATCTCTTGGAATCTGCTGCAGTTCTCCCATATCAGTAATACTTATACTAAACAGAAGTCCAGTATTTCCACAGGCGTGCAGAATGTTCAGTATTTCCATTTGGAGCAGAGATGAGAGTACTGGCAATGTTTTAGAAGACAACAAACTTGATTCTGAAGCCCATTAGGAAACACTTTGTGATTGAATACACAAAGTCTTTTGAAATATATACATTATTCAATAGGAGATATTGAAATATTACTATTATTTGCCAACTTCTCCCTCATATTATTTCAGTTGTTAATTTTACACAGTCAGAAAACAATGTTCACAATAATCAGAACAAGAATATCAAAACTGGAGGTAGCACAGTGACCTACAGCACGGATGTGATGGTTTGGCAGATGCAGCCTTGCTGGCCTTTTCTCCACCTGTGTTTAATGGGGTCATTCAGTTTAGAACTATTTCCAGAACCTGTAAAATCCCAGTGCTATTGCTAAGCAAGTGAAAACAGAAGCTGTTAAAAGAACAAAAGTAGCAGTAATTAGATGAATGTTAAATTGTATCATGTTCTGCATACAGGAAATTAATTGCAAACAGAATGGAAAGCAATGCCTTGTTTCAGATGTGGTATCCTCCACAGTAGCACTGCCTACACAGCAAGGTGGGAGCTCAAATTCAGCAGCCTGCAGAACCATCGTATCAGGAACACTTCTGAAGAACCGAACTGGGTAACAGAGCACAGCAGACTACAGTAATTTTTACTGCTGTTGCCCATCTGTCAGAAATGGTATTACAGGAGAGATGCCTGTATTGGGTCTTAACTAAATGTAATTAAACAGGCTTTCCACTGAACAAAATGACAAGCCAACACATCAGACATGACACCCAATTCCAGTCATCTGCTGCTGTTCTGCTGAATTTTTGAATTCATTTTGCACGTAACGTTGAATAACCTTTGAACTTTACGTGTCCAAATTAAGTCCCTGGTACTCACCCTTGTGCCCATCACATACCTGCCAAGTAACGTATCGTGTCGAGTTTATTTGATTCCATGAGCGTTTTTAAGGAAGCTATTTCAGTGTCAATTTTATTACTGATCTCTGAAATAATGCTGTTGGTATTCGAATCCTGAAACATTAAAAGAAAGCCTATCATTTGACAATGTTCTCCAGCTCTGTCCAGTTTGCAAAACAAAACAGGAATATGGTGCTATGAGCAATAACAAAGAAAAATTTCCAACATACTGGTAAAGATTACTAATTACTGTGTAATTAGTAAATGATCTCAGAAGTCACAGAGCAACGCTTAATACCATAGGCAAGTATATTAAAGATGAAGACAGAAGAAGAGAAAAATAGGTGCGATCTGAATTTTACCTGCAATACACCATGTGCCTCCTAAGGAGGACGTTCTATTATGTCTTCATGGCATCCCTAAATTCTTGCCAAACAAAGGTCTAAGAAATCACCAGCCTTACCCAAGAAAAGGAAGCTGATGCTGAAAATGGGAATGTCCCTCAGCAGCATCAGGCTGCAGTGCCCTCAAGGAGGCACTGAGGACTCCCAGCCCCTGAAACTTGCTTGGCTGCAGGCACCCAGACAGTCTCTGCTAGGGCCAGCCAGCTCGCTGCTTAACACCAGAACGGGCAGCGAGGCAGAACACACCTACCTACAACAGACTGCACAAAGGCTCTCTGGAAGTGACAGATGAGGCTTGTGTGTCACCTGCTTGGGAGATCCACACACAGATCCCATCAACATGTACAACAGACAGGGCTTCTATCGCAGGCAGACAGCTTTTAACTTTCACAGAAGTTGTGTTTACATGACATCTGGGTTGTAACTGCATCCTGCTCAATGTAAAGTGAATTCAATCCTTACTTTTTTATGAAACTCTGTAGTTGCTTCCATCAATTTCCTCTCTTGATCTGTAAACTACAGATAAAAGACAAATCACAACTGCAGCGAAGGAAGATGACACCAAACTCATAACAGTATCTTCACAGGTCAGCTTACCATATCTGTCACTCTGCTCCTTTCTAGGTTTATGTCTAGCTTGCTGTCAGCTTGGATTTTACTGGTTTCATTCTTTAAAGCAAATAAAGATAATGAAAACAACCATATTTTTCCCTGAGATGAGTGTATACCTACTTGCTGTTTACTTACCATTAACTGCTGTTTAACTTGATCTAGTTCAATTTTCATTTTCTAGGAACAGAGAAGGAAAAGAAATTTTATAACTTCAGAAAACTGCTGCCCAAACAATCAGCTGTGTGAGTGTTAGCACTGCATTTCTGTCATTACTGTTCTGCAATTTTTCCCACAGAGCAATGTGTTCCCAACTAAATACCTTAACTGATGTGCTCTATTTAAACAGTCAGATACAATCTGCTCAGAATTTTGCTCAAAATCATTGTTTCGTATTCTGAGACTAAAGACAGGAGAAAAACACCAAAATGCTGTCCAGCAAAACTAAAACATATCTTAATCACCAGTTTAATTAACAGAAATGCCTGACTGCTCTCCCTGGATTGAATGGTTAACAGCAACAAGACTACAAGAATCACCCTTGAGTAATACAGAAGATGACATCAAATATTCTGTACCACAAAAAAGCTGCACTGGGGAAATCACAGTATATTTTAGAGTACTGACAGCTTAAATAAAGGTATTTGTTAGTACCTCATTCTCTGCTCTCAAGTTTGCAAATTCACTTTTTTCCAGGATGACCATGTCTTTTCGAATGGAGTCCAGATGTGCCATGATCTGCTGCAAAGTTATTTCCTTGGAAACAATACAATAAGTCAATGGTTAAGTTCCAAACTGTCTGATAAGCAAAGGAAGGGATTTTTAGGACTCAAATTAGGAAGTAAACTGCAGCAAAGCATAAAGATGGGGAGACTCTCCAAAAGAAACAGCTTTTATAAACTAAAGTTAAAAAAATAAAGAAAACTAAGGAAGAAATGGAATAGCTTAGATTCTTGAAGGCCGTGCTCCTTTAACTGGTGGAAGAAAGTTTCCCTGCCGTTCAGCATGGAAGATGACAAATCTGTGAGTCTGTTTGTAGCTAACAGTATTTCTCAGATCCTATGCTGAACTAAATTCCCCTGCCCCTGCTTCCACTGAGGTCTGACTTTATTTCATTGAACA